CAGGGGGCCTTTGCAAAAAATAAAAAAAAAAAAAAAAAAAAAAAAAGACACAGGTCCCTAGGGCCAGATTTCAGTTTTTAAAAGTTTTATAGTTTAAATCTAAAAAAGCAGCCTTTCTCCTCCTCCTCCCAAACAATGGAAGCTTCCAATTACTTACATTACAGTGAAACAACTAACAAATTCACACTTACGGCCTGAAAGAAACTGTAAAATCTGCTCCAGTGACTCCAAGAGAGAGGATTTGGTCTGGAATGTTATTTGGGCCTTTGCAAACAGATCAAAGATGTAGCTGCAATGCACAAAGAAAAAGCACAAATGGGTAAACCCCGTAAAAATCATCACATGGACACAATTACTGTTACTCTTTTATATAACAATTTCACCGTCTAGTAGCCAAACATCTTCTTGTGCCCATGGGAAAGAAAAATTTACAGGAATAAGTAGCTGGTTATAAAGACAACAGACAATACTGACACGACAGGAAGCACACTGACCACATCCTTCACATTTCCCACCATTTCTCCATAAAATACTTAGACACAATTCCCCTGATTTTTTTACAGGATACAATACACATCAGTTTACAAATAGGTTCACAGAGGCACCTCAAACCAAAGCACTGCAGCACTAGAACCTCTTTTAAATCATGAAGCAGCACAGCTAGGAGCTTCTTCCAGTTCAGAATAACTGCTCACAGCACAGATTTTCCACTCTTGAAACACTTTAAAAGGAAGTTCCACCAGGAGTAATGAATACTACAGAAAGGGGATTTACTCTTGAATAAATACTATTCCCAGAATTGTGCTAGAAACTAGAATAATACCCATCCTAACAGCTGGCCCAGTTCCACGCGGGGCCAGAATTTGCTGTACTTTAAACATGCAAATACAACGATGACAAGAAATTTACCTTCCCTCTTTGGTGACTCCATTACCATTTGGTGGCAGCTCCACTGCATCAATAGCACTTTCTAGCTGAAGAAGAATTTCTTTAAGAGAACCAAAAAGGGAAAAAAAGTTAGGGTTCATGGAAATTCCTTTCTGGGACACATCTAAGCCTCTTTTTCAACTGTACTTCATTAGAAAGGCTGTTACCAAAGACAACCACCTAGCTGTTTTCTTGATTCGGGAGACAAATCAAAAGGATCAAAACCAATTTCCTAGATATCACCTTTAAATACTCATACTCAACTTCAAGAACTTCCGTGACCTCAATTCTTAGATGAGGCTTAACCTTTCAGCTAAACATGAGACATCTCGAGCTCCTGCTGTTAACTTTACGTAACATCATCTTCTTACAGCAGAAGAATAATAGAATTCCTGCACACTGACAAGACTAGAAAACAAGGGAATTTCCAGCAAAGAAGGAAGCGATGCATTCATCTGCCACATCTCTCATCTTCTTAGGAAAAAAAACTGCAACCAAACATTTCACAAAATTCTCCAGAAAAGTAGACACCTTAAACCCCCAGGAATTTCTTAGTTATGAGCAATGTCTACAGAAATGCTACGTGAAGCCAATTTACAGTCTGTGACCTTCTGAAACTGCTTCAATAGCAATATTCAACAACACGGAAAAAAACAAACGAAAAACCTTACGCTTTATCTTTGCTATATCTTCCAGTTCCATGTTCAGCCCTGTTGAAGAAAGGAAAGATTTCAGAGAGGACATTGCATGCCTGTTGAGCTCCTGGTTTCGTTATGCCGTTTCAGAAATGATGGGTAGGATGGCTAGAACTGTGTACATGGAAAGACATCTCCTGTATTGCACTTGCCATTCTCTTTCATGACCCCTTAAGTCACACTGGCTCAGCCAAGTCTTTTTATGTTTGTCTGGCAGTAAATTACCAATTACCAATAATCTACCTACCAATGACAGCAAATTTTCCAGAAGCCGTTAGGAAAAGTTAATTTTCCAGTTCTTGGTAGCGGCACCCTCTAATTCCACCGTAACAGTGGTCTGTGGGTGTCAACACACCTGAACTGGCCAGCTCCATGTTGAACTCCGCATTTATTTCATTCTGTTGAACCACTTTGGCTTGTTCTTCCAGCACGACGTTTAGAGCATCCATTGCTGAAGCCAAATCATAGGGTGTCAGGTCAAAAGAAGACGATTCCTCACACAACTTCTCCTGGAATATCAAGGAACAGAAGCATTACTTGGACTGTTCATTGTGCTCTTTGCTCAGGTAATTTCTTAGACAATAAAGTGCAGATGCTCACACTGGGTTTTGGTTCTGATCTCCAGCTCAGGCCAGAGGACATTTTATAAACACCTGAAGATCTTGACTATTATTAGACATCCTTTTATTTCCGAAATGTCAAACGGATTTTGTCCCTTTCACCTTATCAACATTATATCATTCCCATCCAGTAGCAAATGAGTGTGATCATTAAGATCCTTTTTTTTTTTTTAATAAGCATCATCTCCTCTGTGTTTTTCATGTTGCTGCTAATAGATTTTTCTTGACATCCTTTTGTTTCTCCCACGCAGTTGCCAAACAGCTCGCTGTCTGATGACAAATTGTCTTAACTGGCATTTTTTTTTTAGTTAGAGAATTGATTTATCCTTCGAAAGAGCCTTTCTGGTCCCTCTCACACTTTTAGGAAGTACTCATATCCCTGTCTATTCAGTCATTTGAAGATATGGTCCCTGCCCCTCTTGCAGAGATGAGTGCATGGAGAAAAGAGGGAGAGGAACCATAAAAAAAACTCAAAACACAAAAAACTCCCACACCAAAACCCCACTAAACAAACAACAAGATAAAAAAAATCAACCCCCAAAACACCAAACCACAAGAAAATTAAAATTTTACATGTGAATAATATGCATTTAGGTCAATATGCTAACTTTCTACTAAAAAAGAGTAATGGTTTGAACACTCTCCAAGCTGATAAGTTTAACTAAATTCCTTATGACCTTGAAAAATAAAGACACTTGTTCTGTCACAAATTTTTCATTCACAAAAAAGATCATTTTCCCTGAGGAATGAAGAGAAATAGTGCGAACTACCCTACAGACAAATTCGACCGCAACAGCTACGAAGAAGTAAGTTATGAATAGAAAAATGCTCACCTAGCTGCATGCATAAACAATCTAAGGAGAAAGAAGTGATTTTTATTTTAGAGCAAGTACTAAAGTTTCCACATCCTAACCCGGAACAGCCGGGACCGTGGGAGGACCATTGCAAGGGGACTAGTTCTAGAATAGCTCTTTGGCTTCATCCCTGCCGGTGGCACCAAGCTCCAGCAAAGGGAGCGCACCCTCCAGTGGCCTCTCGGCTGAAAGAGCAGCACACGGCCAGAAAACCAACCCAGCAGAAACCTCGCTGGGAGTTTCCTCACGTGACAGACAAAAAAAATCTTCCTTTGCATTTCAGTATTTAGGCAAAGGGCTGCAGTTCAAAGCCAACTAAGAGGAAGATCGCAAAATGCAGGACTTTGGTGTTGTTTTTTTTTTCTTTTTTCTCCTCTATGGAAACTACAAGAGTCACATTTGCCATCTACTGCACTTGGGGCAGCTGGTGCAGCCGCGCTTCAAGAATGGATCTTTCACAAGTTCGTAGCCCCTGGAAGAGAACTCTCCAAACAAAAAAAAAATGAGCACCCTCCTAAAACCAGAGCTACACCCTTCGGGAAGCAACTATCACCTGCAAAAAAATCACAAGGCCCATTAATTAAACTACAAAGTTCTCACTGTCATGGAAATAAGAAATGTTCACGGTAACGAACATTAACAAGGTATAGCTGAGAAGAGGTTTGACGGACTGTTTGTAATAGGACATGGTTCTGGTTTTCCCTTTGAATGGAGTTGGAAAGACGGCAACAGACCTGAAACAACTTACCACGTTGTGAGCTTCATCAAGTATTACCACAGTTCCCTTCAGGTCTAAGTTGTGCGCTCGCCGGCTCTAAAAATGAAAGAGAGGAAGAGAAAACGGACAAAAAGGCCACAGAGAAATATGGATTTGGTTGAGTGACAAATTGGCTCATGGGACAGATTTGGATTTTCACATATTTTGATTTTATTTTTTCTTTTTTTTTGGCGAGAACACAGTGAGTAATCTCTGTGTAAGCCACAGAATTGTTTTCTCTGCAAACAAAGGTGCTAAAACACATCAGGTAAAAGCTGCAGATAAAGAATAAAACTACACCAGGATGCACAAGTGTATGAGAATTCACTTCAGTCACCATTTTTGCCAACAGGGACCTGGGAGGAACAGGGTGTGAAGCAGCAGGATTTGCCTTATTTTTGCAAATTTATGCTTGCGTCGTCTTTGCAAAGATGACACAAGCATAAATTTGCCGATGTTACTCCAAGTCGCACGAAGATGTCAGCAAATTGGTTTCCTCAGTGGAGTTTTCAATGGTTTCATTTGCTGTCCATGAAACACAGGCACTGTTTTCCAGCCAATATTAAATAAATAGAGCAATTGCATTTAAAAGCAAAGATTATGTTACCTTCGAGTCGAGTAAATAGTTGTAAGGCATAAAAATAATATCTGCTTGCTGCTTCAGGCTTCGAGAGAGATAATAAGGACAAGCTCTGTTCAAAAACAAGAAAAAAGGTGGTACAAACTATAAAGTAACATTTGCAGAAATATTTAAGAGTGCATTCAACATTCGTGTGCTTTGTTACATATTCTCAAGGATTTTTAATCAACTTCTTAGGGAGCTGAAGCTGGTGTGTTTTATTTTAGGGCAGATGGTCAGCTCTATTCACAGAAGTAAAAAGTCTAGAAAACAATACTGAGCTGTGCAGCTCAACAAAACAAGAACTGAATTAAAGGA